TAATAACACTAATAACAATAATAATAATACTACTAATAATAACAATACTACTACTACTACTAATGTGTATGGCAGCGATGGGTGCTGGCGGTGTATTAGCAGGAAATGGGCGCTGTGTGTCGCCGTGGAGCAGTGCTGTGTGCTGCACTGCCAGTTTCCTGCGGTGGGGGCGCTGTGCTGACATCACACTTCTCGTTATCTCCAGCTGATGGTCGGTGATCCGGTTGTAGCGGAGGGTCTCGGAGTGTCTCTCCCGGTGTCGGTGGCACTTTGTCGGGCAGTGAATAGTCGGATGGGATAGTTGTAGTTTCCCGGTGTGATCTCGGAGTTGGAGGAGAAGTGTGGCGGCGGCGGAGGAGGAGGAGTAGTTGTTCTTCTCCGGGTAGTAGAAGATCGGAGCTCGGACTTCCATGGGCTGTCGGCTTGATGTGGATGTATGATCACCCCGGAGGGGGGGCCGGAGTATTGGGGGGCGAGGAGCAACAAGTCAGGGTGAGTAGTGCAGAGTCTGCTCAGTACTCCGCTCCCGTCTATGTCTGCGATATCCTGCGCTGTCTCTGGTCACTTTGGCAGCTGTTGGGGCTCTTGTTCTTGTTCCTGGACATTGCAGTGATCGCAGTGCTGTGTGTTGTCACTGTGGCCTGTCAGTGTGCTCTTTGCCCCATGTATGTATGTATGTATGTATGTATGTATGTATGTATGTATGTATACTGGATGTCCGTGGATCCTGGGCTATGGGACCTTCCAGATGACCGCACAGAGCAGGAGAGATCTGGGGGAGGGGATCACAATACCGCACACACTGTACCGCCTGTAAAACTTTTTACTTTTTGTATTTTTAAAAAACAGAATCCATTTCCATCTGCAGCTATTTCCTATCAGCCAGCATACATACAGCTGACACTCTCAGACGGCTTATGATCCCAAAAAAGTAACCCTTTACTACCAGCAGGAGCTTGCTCTTTCAGGGCTCGTCCGTACCTTGGTGCATAGACCAGTATATCTGCACACGTTCTGCAAGAGCACAACAAAATCAATAGTTGTCTATGTCCCCTGTTCACACCACAATACAGGAATCTGCAGTGCGTGTAAAACGCATTGTAGTGTGCATGAAAACGGATCTCTCTGCAAGTGAAATCTGCATGTCAGTTTCCGTCAATCTTTCTGCGTGTTATACACATTTCCCGATTATGCAATCCCTGTGATTGGCTGTCACGGTGATCCCGAATTGTGAACAGTGATGAAGTGTTGTCAGAGACAAGGGACGCCGGCTGTCATATATATATATATGCTCATGGCCAGCATTCAGGTAGAACTAAAGGCAAACTGTTTTTTTTCGTTTGGGATAGAGTAAAGGAGGGTTATAACCCCTGGCAGGTTTTTTTTTTTTTGCCATCTGTGTCCCATTGGCGAGATTTCCCTATGCTTCCTGCCCCATAGCCAAACAGGAAGTGAGAGGAAATCTCTGCAAAGTGAGGGAATCCCAGGTTGTCACCAGAACTAGTGTCCCCATTGGAAAATTTCCCCTCTATTCCTGTTCTGGGTACAACACAAAATGTGGGATTTTATTTTCATTTTCACTTTCAGTAATAACAGTAAACAGGAAAAATAGAGAGGGGGAATCTCCATAATAGGGGCACAGACTGAAAAAAAAAAAAACATCTGACGGGTCTTCTAATCCCGCTACACTCTAAAAAAAAGTTTTTCCTTCTAGTTATACTTTGAGGTTAAATTATATGTATATATTTGTTTAAGTTTTGGATAGAATAGGGAAGCGTTACACCCCCTGCCGGTTTTTGTTACGTAGTTAGTCTGGCTGAAAAAAGACAAAAGTCCATTCAGTTCAACCAAAAAAAAAAAAAGTTATAATCCTACACCCACAGTTGATCCAGAGGAAGGGAAAATAAACCCAGCAAAGCATGATCCATTTTGCTCCTGCAGGGGAAAGAATTCCTTCCTGATCCCCCGAGAGGCAATTGGATATTCCCTGGATCAACTTTACCTATAAATGTTAGTATCCAGTTATATTCTGTGTATCTAAGAAACAATCCAGGCCTTTTTTAAAGCAATCCACTGAGCTGGCCAGAACAAACTATTTTTTTTCTTCTCTGTGTACTGTTGCTAAAATTTCCCTTCACTTCCTATACCAGAGATGCAACAGGAAGTGAGAGAAAATCTGCTCTTAGTTGTCTCTGGAACAGGTGTCCCCATTGGAAGATTTTCCTTTACCTGTTGCTTTGGAGAGGAGACAGCTCTAAAAAGTTGGATTTTCCCTCACTTTTTCTCATTGATAACAGTTATAGGTACAACGAGAGAATGAAGCTACCGACTCTAATAAAAATGTTACAGAGGGTCTAACCCTTCCCTACACCATCCAAAACTAAAAAAATGGGGGTTGTCTAGAGTTTTACTTTAACATCTTGCCTACCGGGCACATTCACCCCCTTCCTGCCCAGGCCAATTTAGCTTTCAGTGCTGCCGCACTTTGAATGACAATTGCGCAGTCATGCAACGCTGTACCCACATGAAATTTGTATCATTTTTTTGAGTGGTATTTAATCACCTCTGGGTTTTTTATTTTTTGCTAAACAAACTAAGGGCTCGTTCACACTTGACTGTTTTTCCAACTCTTGCCAAACACCCCTATAGCGTTTGACAAGCGTTGGTCCGGCATTCGCGCAGTGTTTTTAACGCTCCGCAAACGCCGCATGCGCAGTTTAGTGGCGGTTGCTAGGCATTTGCCAAGCGTTAAAAATTGCCCCACAAACTCCTATAATGAAGTTTGAATGGTGTTAACGCTTTGCAAACGCGGAGGCGTCCGTTTTGCCGCGATGCTAACGCTCCCGTTTGAACAGCACCATGTGCTGCAATGTGCAGAATTTTCCCAGGTGTTTGGGAAACGGTAAAGACGCTTCCCAAACGTCTGTCTGCCGCTTGCTAACAAGGCTAGTGTGAACGTAGCCTTAAAAAGACTGAACATTTTCTGTTTCAGTTTCTGGTATAAAATTTTGTAAATAGGTAATTCTTCGCCTTCACTGATGTGCGCTAATGAGGCTGCAGTGATGGGCACTGATAGGCAAAACTGATAAGCGGCACTGATGGGTACTGACAAGCATCATTGATGGACACTGAAAGGCAACACTGATGGGCACTGATAGGTGGCTCTGATTGGCACTGATAAGCAGCACTGATGGGCATTGACAGGCATCACTGATGGGCACTGAAAGGCAGCACTGGTAGGTGGCACTGATAGGCAGCACTGGTAGGTGGCACTGATAGGCAGCACTGATGGGCACTGATAGGTGGCACTGAGGGGCACTGATAGGTGGAAGTGATGGGCACTGATAAACAGTACTGATAGGTGGCACTAACTGGCACTGAAAGGCAGCTCTAATGGGCACTGATGTGCACTGATGGTCACTGATATGTGGCATTGATGGGCACTGACAGGCGGCAATTATGGATACTGAAAAGCAGCACTAATTGGGCTGCACTGATGATCAGTGCCCTGATTATCAGTGTAGATGTCCCCCTGAGAAATGCTGCTTACCGGCTCTCCTCTCCTCACGCGCTATCAGTGTGAGGAAAGGAGAGCCAATAACCAGCATTTCCTGTTTACATGTGATCAGCTGTGATTGGACACAGTTGACCACATGATAGAACCCGTGCCATTGGCTCTTTACTGCGATTGGTGATCTGCTGTGTCCCAGGGACACAGCGCACCACTGATCGCCGCACACCCCTGGGGGGTGCCCATGCGCAGCTAGAGTGGTAGGACGCACTGCAACCAGATCTCATGATACTGCACGGAATCATGCAATCCGGTGCATGCAAATGCACTGCATTTGTGATTACATTGACACCCACAGCAAATCGCACACTCAATGTGTTTGGAACATGGTGTGAGAAACACACACAGAGCGTGAGATTTCCGCACTGTGTCCTAGTGTGAATGAGCTCCTAGGTAGCGGTCTCCTGTCGGTGCTGAGAGTTGTAGTTCTGACTGCAGCACATTCAATACAATGATCACTGTGGGTTGTTTGCTCAGCTTCTCCTTCATTAATTTCAATGAATGCAGGGCGTTCTGTGATTGGAGGCTGAGCAGATGAATGTAGCAATCCCCCCTCCTCAATACACTGATCACTATGGTTTGCTACACCCGGTTTTTCAGAGAATGCAGGTAGCTCTGTGATTGGAAGAGTGATTGCGATGTTCTCCTGCCCCAACTCCAATCACAGATCCCCCTGCATCTATTGAAAACAATGGAGGAAATGCTGAGCTAACAACCATCTCTCAACAGTGGACATTTGATGCCAATGGGAGACTGCTGCCTGAGTAAAAGTAAGATATGTAACAAATGCTCTACAATATGGGGCATACATTACTCATTAGGGCTGCACACCACAGAAATGACAAGGAGGGAGGGGAGAGGGGGAGATGCAGTCATGCTGAAGACACAGCAGGTTGATGGAGGGACATAAACTGACCACACTATCATGGATCAGAGCCATGATTAGAGTGGTCATTTTACAGAGGGGAAACATAGGAACAGGCAGGATCAACCAGGTATTGTACAACATGGAAATAGACAAATGACATTGCAAAAGCGCTATTCTATATATCTTGCCTTAAAGGGACAGAAGCATTTTTTTTAGGGTTACAACCACTTTAAGCCTTAAATTAATTAGCCCTTACTAAACTGGAGGAGTTACTAAACCTACAACAGTAAAATCAGTCTCTGTATGCAGTAAAGCATGCTTGTTATACTCACTGTGGAACCTAGGGGGTTAATCCTCCGCAGTGTGTAAAAAGGCTGTTGGATCCTGTCTTCTCTGGTCCTCTCCTTCTTTTACTGTCCCCAGTCCATCTGCTGATAGAACAGAGCCTTGGGGGCAAGCTGCACATGCTCATCTTGGTGTGTATTGCTAGAGAGTTTTTTTTTTCTTGGGAGAGTGCATGTGATCAGCACAGGAAAAAATCAGTGCTGTTCAGACAAAGGGTCAGGGGTTATGCAGCCTCACAGGACACTCAGGGGAGAATGAAAACTCCTCCTACAAGCTTTAACCAGTGCTCTGCTGGACATTGATAGAAGTCGCAAGACTACTGTAACTGCTAATGAGAAAAGGTATTTAGCAGTTTGTATTTACTAAAATAATTACATTTCCATGTTCTGTGTACTGTGGGGTACCAGATATAGTGAATGCAGGGTCCTGGGTTTAGTAACACTTTAAATACTACATGCCTGCATTTTACTGAAACTCACCATCCACATTGCAGTGTGAATGGGGAACATGGAAAACAATTGGTTTCTTTGTATCCTAGTGGTTATTCGTGTTTATCCAGTGAGGAAAATGTGTAAGCGAACCCCAAATTATGAGAGAAATCCTGCATGGCAGTCAAACACAACAGGGTTTTAACCCTTTCCCGCTCAATTCAAGAAAATGATATTGAAATTTTTTGCTGGACATTCACTTTAATTGTAATAAGTGCATTTTCATTATTTTGTGGCTTTTGAATGGATTGTTGGTGTGCAAACCAGTTTCAGAAATCTGCCAAGGAGCAGTGGGTGACTTAGAGGAAGGATCCCTGGGTGGTGTCAGGATTAAGTAAGACTGGAGATGGCAGGAATCAATGCAATAAAATATCCCAATGATATGTCTTCAGGGTGTCAGCACATAGGTCAGGCACTGGAAGATATTCCAGTGCTGTATCCAGCATTATTATTGTTATTATTATACAGTATTTATATAGCGCCAACAGTTTGCTCAGCGCTGTACAATATAATGGGAGACAGTACATGAGACAGTACAGTAACAATACAATACACGAGGGGTTCGAGGGTCCTGCTCCTTGGAGCTTACAATCTAGGAGGGAGGGGAGAATGGTACAGGAGGAAATAGCTGTGGGGGATGGGGTGGTGGGAAGAGCGGAAGAGATCAGCAATTAGGTGAGGGCGGGGTAGGCTTCTCTAAAGAGATGGGATTTCAGGGTGCACCTAAAGGTGTGGAGGGTAGGTGACAGTCTGATGGATTGGGGTAGTGAGTTCCAGAGGATGGGGGAAGCCCTGGAGAAGTCCTGAAGACGGGCATGGGAGGAGGAGACCAGGGAACTGGAGAGTAGGAGGTCTTGTGAGGAGCAGAGAGTGCGTTTTGGTGGTAAATGGATATCAGGTCGGTGATGTAGTTTGGGGCAGTGTTATGAACAGCTTTGTACGTCAATGTTAGTAATTTGAATTTTGTGCATTGGGCAATCGGAAGCCAGTGGAGGGATTGGCAGAGGGGGGTGGCGGATACGGAGTGGTTAGTAAGGTGGATGAGTCTGGCTGCAGAATTCAGGATAGACTGAAACGGGGATAGCCTGTGTTGGGGTAGGCTGGCGAGGAGGGAGTTACAGTAGTCAAATTGTGATATAATGAGGGAGTGAATGAGTTGCTTTGTAGTTTCTGGAGTTAGGAACGTGCGTATTTTGGAGATGTTGCGGAGGTGGAGCCTGCATGAATTTGTCAGAGATTGGATCTGGGGCTGGAAAGACAGATTGGAGTCTATAATGACACCTAGTACTCTGGCTTGCGAGGTGGGGCTGATGGTGGTCGTGATGGAGAAGTCAGGGGGGGGGGGGCGCGGGGCTGGGGGGAAAACTAAGAGCGCAGTTTTGGCAAGGTTTAATTTGAGGAAGTGGAGTGACATCCAGTCTGATATGTTGTTCAGAAGGCTAGTGATTCGGGCGGAGACTGAAGGGGGGAGGTGAGGGGTAGAGAGATAGATTTGAGTGTCATCGGCATAGAGATGGTAGTTGAAGCCGTGGGAGTGTATCAGTTGACCAACATCTATGGCTATATGCACATGAGCAGGTTGGGTCGTCGGTATCAAATCCCATTGGCAGGTACAGTGTCCGGGACCCACTGCCAATAGCCTATCAAAATCTATGACAGGCCAAAGTACGTGGCTGTTGGACTCCTTACTGAGCTGTACTTGCCTTTAGAGCCGTATGCATTTAGGGCAGGATCTGGGCGTAGGAATCGGCTGAGATTCTAACAGTGGGGAGCCCTGCCAGCCCAGTAAAAGTCAGTTACTTGGCCAATGTGTGTTGAAGGAGCTGAACTGAAAAATTGTCAGCTAGTAAGCTACAGGCATTGTTTGGGTACTCTGACAGCTGCGCTAGAAGCTGTGGTGCACTGTCTTTTCTAAAGAGGGTTGTGTGCATTGTTTCCTATATTGTGGTGCCTTAACAGCTCATTGATAATGAAGGTGCTGCCTTAACACAGCATATGTTCAAGTGCCATGGTGTGTGCAATGGAACTCTTAGGGCTCGTTCACACTTGACTTTATTTCTAACTCTTGCCAATTGCCCCTATAGCGTTTGACAGGTGTTTGACAGGCGCTTGGGAAGCGTTTTTAACACTCCTCAAACACTCCCCAAACGTTCCCCAAACGCCCCAATCACAGTTTTGAGGCGGTTGATAGGCGTTTGCCAAGCATTAAAACCGCACCACAAATGCCTACAATGAAGTTAAATGGTATTAACGCTGCGCAACCGCCTCACAATTGCATTGCAACCACACCGCAAACGCCTGTCAGGCATTTGCGGAGCGGCACCATAGACTTGAAAGGGAGGCTTCAACTCCTCCTGACTGGACACGAGGTGTCAGTTTTGCCGCGACGCTAACGCATTAGTGTAAACAGCACTGTGTGCTGCCATGTGCAGAATTTTCATAGGCGTTTGAGAAGCGTTAAAAACGCTTCCCAAATGCCTGCCTGACGCCTGCTGACAAAGCTGGTGTGAACTGAGCCTTAAACTATAGGCAAAACAGTTTTTTTGTTTTAGACAGAGTAAGTCTGGGTTCACATACGTGTGGTGCGGTATATCGCATGTGAATCGCACAGGAACTGCACCGCATTCCTGTGCAAATCACCTACGATTTGTGTGCGGTGCGATTGGAGCCATACAATTTGTATGGTTCTATTCACACCGCACCAGAAACATGCAGGACCCTTTTTTGGGTCCGCACTAGAATCGGATCACATAGGTATTCACACCTATGCGATCCGATTCTGCACATCGCACCGCGTTTTGAAGACCGCTTTCGGGGTGTTGTTAACTTAACATACACACCTGCAGTGGTTCACATGAACGGGATGCGATTCTGATGCGGTGCGGAATTCGCACCGCATCAGTGTGAACCAGGGCTAACCCCTGAAAAGTTTACTTTGAATTTTTCGTCCCATTTGGGAGATTTCCTTTTCACTTTCTGTCCCATAGCCAAACAGGAGGTGAGGGAAAAAGCCCTCTAAGTCAGTGGTTCTCAACCTTCCTAATGCCGCAACCCTTGAATACAGTTCCTCATGTTGTGGTGACCCCCAACCATAAAATTATTTACCCAGTAATTATAATTCACAAAGTGTCATTTTACCTCCAATACTGCTGCTTTCAACACAGTAGCTGCTCTTTACACATCGGAAATATGTGTTTTACAATGGTCTTAGGGGACCCCTGTGAAAGGGTTGTTCGACCCCCAAAGGGGTCACGATCCACAGGTTGAGAACCACTGCTCTAAAGTGAGGGAATCCCTGGTTGTCCCAGGGTCACCAGAACTAGTGTCCCCATTGGAAGATTTCCCCTCTATTCCTTTCTGGGGAGAAACAATAATTAGGGATTTTCTTTTACTTTCACTTTCCATTATAATGATGAACAGGACAAATAGAAATGGTGAGTCTCCCTAATGGGGGCACAGACTACAATAAAAACCTGACAGATGTTCTAATCCATCTCCACTCTATCCAAAACTATAAAATAGACCCTTAATACTGTATAGTGAATGCAGGGTCCTGGGTTTAATAACACTTTAAGGCTGCATTCACACTTGGCATTTTGAAATCGCCGTGAGTCTGCATGCAATTCCAAATCTTACTACAACCATGGCAAAACAGACCATGCGTGTTTGGGTGCCATTCATTCTCAAAGCTGTAGTAAACCGCACCTAACAAAAAAAAATCCCGTGTGTAAGCTAACGTCATAATACACTAGTATACATCGCATACTAGCACATTATGAAGGACTTCTCTTAAAAAACGAAGCCCTCCAGCGGCGAGCTGTCAGGTTTGCGAGCTCCGGCCATCTGGCTGGCCAAGCCACGATGACGTCACTCCCCGTTCCTTCATAGCGCATGTGCCGGCTGTCAGAAGGAGTGAACATCTCCTAATTAGTGTACATTTAGGAGATATTCATTTTACCTGCAGGTACGTTTTATTATAAGATTACTTGTAGGAAAAGTATGCAAAAGGAGTTTACTACCACTTTAATGGCACCTCAAACATGGTGCGATTTTGCTGCGATTGTTGTGCAACAGAATTTCACCAAAAACGCATTGCGCAAAGCTTGTTGCCCAAAAAGGAGCAGGAGCTTCTTGTGGGCGACAGCTTCGTGCAATGTGTTTTGCCACCATTGCTGCGAGATTTTGTTTCAAAATTGCCAAGTGTGAATGCACCCTATGGAAAACATACAAAGTAGCTTTTGGCCAGAAGAAGAAAGTTAACCTGCTGCCTATTACAGATCTTTGTCTACAGCCCCTGGTGCCCAACCTGTGGCCCTTTGGTATAAGATGTGTGGCCCTTGGACCTCAGCAGTTTGTAGTGGGAAGATTGATTAGGGTAATAGAATTGATGTCTACTAGCTCCATGCAAAGTTTCTAGTTTCATATTATCTTCTGTAGCATATTCCCAGCCAGAAATGTAGCCCTGACCCTCATTTCCTCTATTAGGTCTGCATTTTCTGACAGTCCTCCCAAATGTTACATTTATGTGTGGCCCTTGGGTGATGTCAGGGGCCACATTTGAAGCCCCCTTTACCTCATACGTTGACAATCGCTGGTCTACGGCCTTCATCACACACCGAGGCCTTTAGACAGTGAATTGGCATTTTGTTTTTGTGGTTTGAGCTGTCAGGCAGTCCATGTAAGTGTATGCAATGCAGCGGCTGCACAGACACAGCCGCTTGTCTTTGCATGACAGGTGTGTGATTGCGGGTAAACGACCCTGAACACAGACATTTAGGCTAGGTTCACATAGGTTCACCCACACTGAAGAATGCGGACCCGCTGGCCAGAGCCATTAGTTCTAATGGCACGCCGCCCGCACTGGAAATCACAACCGCACTGGGAACCGAGGTTCCCAAGCGGGCTTCGGTTTTCCAAAGAAGTGCAGGGACTTCTTCCCTGCGTGTCCTGAGGCACGGGAGTCCATTAAAATGAATGGGCTCTCGTGCCCACGCAAAACGCGGCCCGCAGTAACGCACATATGTGAACCAGGGGTAACAGTCTACAGGCCTCAGCACCTTTTGCATCAGCAGTAGAAGAAAAAATGAAGGATTGGGGATGTTTGGGCAGCAAAGACAGATCCCTTCTCTATACTCCCCATTATGTCCTATCCAAAATAAAGGCCATGTCGTTATATTGGGTTGACTGATTTCTATAGAATGGCATTAGGTCCTGTGCCATGGTATCTCGAGGTTGTGGTTGGTTGGTTTGGGTTTGTTCTTCCGTATCGGTCAGGAAAGTTCTACTCTGCGAGGTGAAGCTGATAACGCTGACAATCCCTCAGAGTAAACACTTGCAGTTCTGACATGTTGAGTTCTTTCCAATAAAGTGGACTCTACATAACAGCACAATAGAGCCGTGCATGAACAGCATAGAACTACTCATGTGCCATGGCTGCAAATGGAAGCTGACTTATGGAGAATATGGCCACATGCACACTAGCCCCTGTGCCTCCAGTCCTAGCTTTTTCCTGCGCCTAGATGGTATATGTGCAGCATCCAGCCCTGTAGCCTGTCAAAGCCTATTAGAGGCTGAAATATGCTGCAGCTGGATGGTTAACTGAGTGGTTCTTGTGTTTTGGACCTTATGCATTTACGGGCGTATGCCCATAACGCAGAATACCTGTGTTTTTGGCATACGATATTAGTGTTACTAAACCCACAACAGTAAAATCAATCTGTATATGCAGTAAAGCATGCTTGTTATACTCACTGTGGAACCTAAGGGTTTAATCCTCTGCATTGTGTAAAAAGGCTGTTTGATCCTGTCTTCTTTAATCCTCCCCTTCTTCTACCATCTCCAATCCATCTGCTGATAGTACAGAGCTCAAAGAGTCACTCTGTACATGATCAGTTTGGTGTGTATTACCAGAGGTATTTTTTTTCTTCTTGGGAGGGTCCATGTGATCAGTACAAGGCCAATCAGCATTGTCCAGACAGAGGGTCAGGGGTTATGTAGCCTTATAGAACAATCGGGAGAATGAAAACTCCTCTTACAAGCTTTAACCAGTGCATTGCTGAAAACTGATAGAAGTCACAAGACTGCTCTAACTGCTCATGAGAAAAGGTATTTAGCAGTTTATATTTACTAAAATAATATCATTTCCATGTTCTGTGTACTGTGGGAGACCAGATATAGTGAATGCAGGGTTCTGGGTTTAGTAACACTTTAAATGCGAGTTACCATTCTGTACAGTGACCAGCCTCAGCATAGTTCAACCTGTTATAGACTTTGACCGGCTGCAGGCAGTGGGGATGGACCCTGGACCTATGCTTGCCGGGCACACGAATACATCAGGATTGGACACACAAGGGCAGGACGCCCCGTGTGTGCAAGGGGTCTTATATCTCTACCACTCTTTCTTTGATGTCCTGAATTCAGTTCACTTCAGAGACACTGCCTGCATGGAGCGTGTTTTCCCCTATGTGCTCCATTACTTCTCACAACTAAAAAAGCACACTAATCGGTTGGCTCTAGAGTGTGTATAAATGAGCACTTTTAAAATGGCATAAAAGACATTAGATTGTAAGCTCTTATGGCCAGGGTGGTCTGCGAGTGTTCTTTCCCTATGTTTTCACTTTATATCCTCCTGCATACTTTCCACATTTTGTAATGTTACTACATAGAATTAAAATGGAATAATGGAGACTTTAGTTTACTGAGCTATACAAAATAGGATATAATGGTGACATAAATAGGCTTTGTTCATTCACATGGGCGTCTGCTTGCGAGAATTAGCAATTTTTGGTGGCAGAGAAACTAGCCGCATGCATACGGTGTGTGTGATCAGCTACAGCCAGCAGTAGCATGGACAGATTTGTACCCGGTACAGACCAATGGATGGTGCTGTTGCTGTTTGCACTCTGACCAGCCCAGGACACAGACAGCTTGGGGTTTATTTACTAAAGCTGGAGGGTGCAAAATCAGGCTCACTTCTGCAGAGAAACCAATCAGCTTCCAGGTTTCATTGCCAAAGCTTAATCGAACAAGTTGAGGTTAGAAGCTGGTTGGTTTCTATGCAGAAGTGAGCCTGATTTTGCAGCTTTAGTAAATAAACCCCAATGTGTCCAGGGATGGCTTTTCTGGATGCAGCTAATCACCCAGTTTGTATGTGGCACTCTGAATGTACAGTGCTTGCATTTAGCTGCTTCTATCTACCCACCCTCTTTCGCCCATCTGAATGAGGCCTAAAGCTGGGTATACCCTAGTAGATATTCAAATGAAACTTTTCTCATTAAAGTGTTACTAAACCCCGGACCCTGCATTCACTATACCTGGTCTCCCACAGTACACAGAACATGGAAATGCAACTATTTTAGTAAATATAAACTGCTAAATACCTTTTCTCATCAGCAGTTAGAGCAGTCTTGTGACTTCTATCAGTGTCCAGCCAAGCACATGTTAAAGCTTGTACGAGGAGTTTTCATTCTGCTCTAGGAGGATGCAGGGCCCTTGACCTCTGTCTGGACAGTGCTGATTGGCCCTGTGCTGATCACATGCACTCTCCCAAGAAAAAAAAAAAACCTCCAGCAATGCACACCAAACTGAGCATGTGGAGAGTGACTCCACACATTATGTCTTATCAGGAGATAAGAGGGGGACACTGGAAGAAGGGGAGGGTGACAGAAGTCAGAATCAATCTGTGTTTTTACACAATGCAAAGGATTAACCCCCTTAGGCTCCACAGTGAGAATAACAAGCATACTTTACTGCATATACAGACTGATTTTACTGTTGTGGGTTTAGTAACACTTTAAGAACGTTCATCGGATTTTCTAATTAATGCGTTAAATCGATTTTCGTTTTCAATCATAGTGATTAGAGATGAGCGAATCGAACTTGGCGAAGTGGAATTCGTTTTTTAGAATATTAGGAAAAATTAGATTCGCATCGAATCCGAATTTTAGCAAACTTCGGATGCACGAATCGAATTTTCCCCGATCAGCCGGCAAAAGTGTCACTGCAGAGAGCTCCGCTATTTCTGACAGTTCTCTGACAGATAGTCATTTACAGCGGTTGAAACATTGTATCTATTTGTTTCCATTTAGGATACAGATGTTTTTATTCGGAAATAAATAGATACAATGTTTCAACCGCTGTAAATGTGAAGGAACTGTCAGAGAACTGTCAGAAATAGCGGAGCTCTCTGCAGATACACTTTTTGCTGTACTGGAATTCTTCTTCTTTTCATTCTTCTTCTTTTCATCTTCTTCTTCTTCTTCTTTTCATTCTTCTTTTCATTCTTCTTCTTCTTTTCATTCTTCTTCTTTTCATTCTTCTTTTCTTCTTTTCTTCTTCATTCTTCTTCTTTTCTTCTTTTTTCATTCTTCTTCTTCTTTTCATTCTTCTTCTACTTCTTTTCATTCTTCTTTTCATTCTTCTTCTTCTTCTTTTCATTCTTCTTCTTCTTCTTTTCATTCTTCTTTTCATTCTTCTTCTTTTTTCATTCTTCTTCTTCTTCTTCCATTCTTCTTTTCATTCTTCTCATTCTTCTTTTAATTCTTCTTTTAATTCTTCTTCTCTTCATTCTTCTTCTTCTTCTTCTTTTCATTCTTCTTCTTCTTTTCATTCTTCTTCTTCTTCTTTTCATTCTTCTTTTCATTCTTCTTCTTCTTTTCTTCTTCTTCTTCTCATTCTTCTTTTCATTCTTCTTCTTTTCATTCTTCTTCTTCTTCTTTTCATTCTTCTTTTCATTCTTCTTCTTCTTATTCATTCTTTCTCTTCTTCTTCTTCTTCTTTTCATTCTTCTTTTCATTCTTCTTCTTCTTCTTTTCATTCTCTTCTTCATTCTTCTTCTTCTTCTTTTCATTCTTCTTCTTCTTCTTTTCATTCTTTTTCATTCTTCATTCTTCTTCTTTTCATTCTTCTTTTCATTCTTCTTCTTCTGCTTCTTTTCTTTTCTTCTTCTTCTTCTTTTTTTCATTCTTCTCATTCTTCTTTTCATTCTTCTTTTCATTCTTTTCTTCTCATTCTTCTTTTCATTCTTCTTTCTTCTTCTTTTCATTCTTCTTCTTCTTCTTCTTTTCATTCTTCTTCTTCTTCTTTTCATTCTTCTTTTCATTCTTCTTCTTCTTTTCATTCTTCTTCTTCTTCTTTTCATTCTTCTTCTTCTTTTCATTCTTCTTCTTCTTCTTCTTCTTCGTCGTGCCCCGTGACTGCCCAAATGAGTGAAGTGTGCGGTGATTCTAAGATCGACGGCACGGCACTCATCTGCATGTCATACTGACTGACAGTATTATTTCTCTTCCCCAGCAGACTCCAAGGGCATTTAAATTAAAGGTACAGTGTTCTGCACTAATATAAAGGCTCTCTGAAGCCTAGAAACCATTTTAATAAGTTAAATTCGCATCGAATCGAATTTCTCCCGCAAATTCGGCAAATCAGCCGAATCGAATTTTTGAATAATTCGCTCATCTCTAATAGTGATGAGAACAGTCAAAGGAGCAGGATGGAAAATTTTTCTTGATCGAATATTTTTCTAACAGTGTATGTGGTTTTTGTTCAGGAAATTATATTCATTCCAAAATCAATTTCCAACGACATTTGTCAAGCTGTCAAATTTCGTACCAGTTTTCATTCGAAGATCTACTAGTGTATATCCAGCTTTAGAGTGTGATATAGTTAGTTAAGTAGAGTCTATCTGTATGCATAAATTGCAGGAGCCAACTGAGAAAGTTCGTAGAGAATTACCAAATGGTCTTGAAGCCGTAATTGCAGCCATAGGTGGTGGCACTAAGTAGTAACTTGGACGAATCTTAAAGTGACCCTGTTAGTGGGGTTAAAGTGACACTAAACTGGTTAAGAAAAAAAAAAAAATATTCAACTATGTATTCTTAAAGAAAAAAAATGTAATCCCAACATTTCATATTCTTCATATATGCCTGCTGTACCATGTACCTGTATGAAAAAGTATTCTCTTGGTATTGCTTCCTTTGTGTAAAATCCCTGGTGTTCCTGCCAGACCCTCTGCTTTCATATTAAAACTGACCACACTAAGCAGGAGAACACACCACGGTCAGTTCTCTAGCCACTTGGAAGACCCGCAATGCGTATGCGGTTTTCAAGTGGTTTACTGGGGGTTATGGCTGAAGGAGTCAGCCATAACCCCGGTACCGTTTTCAGTGGATGGCTGGCTTTCACATGAAAGTGGTCCTAGAGGCTCTCGAGCTACTGGACCGCTTTCCATAGCAGTGGAAGGGGACATCACCCCTCTCCCCCGCTCGCTTTTGTTTCTTGGGCCTACCATTAACACCGGCCGGCCCGAGAAACAATGCGACGATGAGGCCTCCTCAAGATGGCAGCGATGAAAGACTGTATATTCTTTGATCGTCTCTGTCATGATGGAGGTCCGGAGCAATGTGACATCCGATCGTTGGCGGAAGTAAACAATTTATTTTTTAAAGCCAAAGTTCAAAAAAAATATATTTTATGTTTTGCTGTTAAAGGTAAAGAACAGGTTTGGGGTCTTTTTGTCCCCAAATGTTTTCTTAAAGAGGACCTGTCGTGCATATTTCTATGTGAAGTTTACATTCCTTGTAATAGGAATAAAAGTGATAAAAGAAAAAATTAAAAGGACAGTGTAAAAAAAAAACAAAACAAAAAAAATGTTTAAAGCGCCCCTATCCCACCGTGCTCGCGTGCAGAAGTGAATGCATACGTAAATCCCGCACGCATATGTAAACGGTGTTTGGAGCACATGTGAGGTATCACTAGACCTAGAGCATAAATTCTAGCACTAGATTTCCTCTGTAGCTCTAAACAGGTAACATGTAAAAATATTTAAAGCATCGCTCATGGAGATTTTTAAGTACCATAGTTTGTCGCCAGTCCACAAGTGTGTGCAATCTTAAAGCGTGACATGTAGCTATTTACTCGCCATAGCATGCTCTTTCATATCAAAATTGCGTTTGAAAAACCACTGTGCAAATACCATGTAACATAAATTATAATGACCGCCATGTCATTCTCTAGGGTCTTTGCTAAAAAAATAAATAAAGAAATATATATATATATATATATATATATATATATATATATATATAAAATATTTGAGGGTTCTCTGAGTAACTTTCTAGCAAAAAATTCAAAACATCCAAGAAAATGCTTGGTCTTCAAGTGAGTAGGTGTGCTCGGAACATAGCCTGCTCTCTCCTCCAATGATCAGACTTCTGCTTACAACCCCCCCCCCCCACACAACCTTTCACTGGGATGTCCAGTGTATTGCTGTTTCTTCTCCCCCAGCTCTTACGCAGCTGAGAACAGGGGGCATGTGATCTCTTAGTATAAAAAAGGGAAAAAATATTTATAATATTTTTTATATCTATAGACAAATGTTTTGTCTTTTATCTCTATTTTAAACTGAATGGGTTGTTTTACAAGGTAAGAGTTTACAATCTCTTTTAAGGCCCCATTCATTCCATAGCATTTTGTGACTTGAAGCTCCAAAACGCTGAACATCTGTGTAAATCTCATGTATTTCACTGGTGGCTGTTCACATATGAGCACTGACGCTCCAAAAGCCACATGAGCTACTGTTGAGGCAGAATTGAGTGTTTTTGCTGACAGACTTGAATTAGAATGCCTGAAAACTTTAAATTGAGCTTTTTTTGTGGGTTTTTTTTTTCAGGCTTTGTTATACTCGATGAGAACTGGTCTCCTCCCTCTAGTGCTTTCCATTGGCTAAACTAAAAATGTGACATTGCACCCGTGATTTGCTGATCACGGTTACAGTACTTTGCGGGCGCCTTTTAAATAAATAAAAAAAAAATATATATATATATATATAAAATAATAAATGCACATCTTTTTAACCTGCACAAAACACGCACTTATTATTTTTTAGTAAAAGATGAATTTAGCCTTTAATTCCCCTGATTTTATATTTTTGTGTTTTTGTTTTTTTAATTTCTTTATTTAGGACCTCATTACAGATACATTTTTTGGTGAATAAACAAGAGGCTCAAGCGTGGCTGAGCAGTATTGAAACAGCGCTTGTGGAAAAGCCATAGGCAGGGTATTTTTTTGTTTTTTGACCAAAGATACACTTTAAAGATTGCTACACATTTGTTATGCTGGGAAATCATTCTATTTATTATTCGTAGTAAATGTTATGTCTGGGTTTCTATCAGTTTGCTGGTATAAACCCAGAGGACTGTATGAATCACACGTCTTCATCTCACTGACCGAGGCGCGTTGTGTCTGAAATGATGACGCAGAATTATACTTTATGTATCTTCTATGTGAAATGTAGAATGTGAGACCGGTAACTGATCTTTTATTGCGATTTATTGTATTGTGGTTGCCAAGCAATTGCAGTTTAATATTGGCATAACCTAATGTTTTTTTTTCTTTTGTATGTGAAGTGATTCAATGAAGGGTTTTCTGTGGGGGAACTTAATGAATTAGTCATACATTATAAAAGGGCAAAAAAAAACCATTAGAGACTCTCCTGCACAGCTCTATGACTGGGATTGTGTGTTCTGCTCTGTAGAGGATGTGATCTCCCAGCATGGACATTGTCTTTGGGTACCAAGATTGTGAGAGCTGTAAACACCCTATCCTGTGGCACACAGAAGATTCCAGAAATGACTTAGAAATCAATCCTTTCACACAATTTAACTAGCTGTGAGACCTGGACAGGTTCATGTATGTACTGGAAGATGGTGGTGGGCACCTGCCACAGTAGAGGATCCTCACAATGGGCCTCCAGCTCTTCCAATATAGGTACATTTGCTTTTTGTTTAAGA